TGATGCGCCACTGAACTCCATGACTCCAGAGAGCCAAGTAGCAAAATTTGGGCCTATTTTTTTTCTAGACTGGTAGTTTACTCAGGGTACATCTAGACCAGTGTTTCTTAAACTTTTTAAGACAGAGGAACACCAAATAATTTTTTTATGAAGAACACCAAGGATTTTTTGTTGAGCTCTCTCCCCCCCCCCCCCCAAAAAAAGGGCAGGGGGGGGGCAGTAATTTAAGCAAAAAAAGTTGCCTGCTCCTTTAAGGGTGGCCATTTTGAACTCTGTTCTCCGTAGCATACCTCCGACTGCCTTGCAACACACTGGTGTTCCCCAGAACACAGTTTAAGAAACACTGGCCTAGACTGCAAGATTCTTTCGAAAGAAGCTTCTTTCAAAAGAGAGTGTCCACACCTCAAAACCAGATCGAAAAAGCGATTTGCTTTTTCAGAAGAGAGAATCCAGATTGCATGGATGCTCTCTCGAAAGAAAGCCCTGATTGCTATTCACAGAATGGCCACTAGGGCACCTATGCTTTTTTTCCGACTGCCTCTTCTTTAGACAAATGTCCCTGTTCTGCGTCCATGCATGCCTTTTTTCAAAAGGGCTCTTTCGAAAAAGGCATTTTTCCTTGTAATTTGAGGCTTACCAATATCGGGGGAAAAAAAACCCCTGCATTCTTTCGATTTAATTTAGAAAGAATGCAATTGCATTGTGGACGCAGGTGAAGTTTTTTCTAAAAAAGGGCAGTTTTTTTGAAAAAACAATGTAGTCTAGATATACCTCAGTGGTGCAGTGATACTGTGCAAATCTGCTTCCTGGGAAACTGGGAGCCAGAAGTAGATTAGAGGCCTCGAATGAGAAAATGCTTCTCTTGTTTCGGGCAATATTAAATCAGAAATACCAGCTTCTGTGTGTGTATCAGTAGTAGGTATTGTGGGGAAGAGCAGATAGGAGAAACGGGAGTGAAGTTGAAGCATGGTTATACTATCTATGGTTCTCATATACATAATGTTAATCTTTTATGAAAGTACCTTTTATGGATTGCAGGCTCACACTCCCTATAAAAAGCAATTGTTCAGTCTTATTCCTGCGATTTATATTGTGTGGATAGACTGCTGAGCCCCATTGGCTTTTGGAGGGCTCCATGTAGGTGTAGCAGTCTGCCCACATTCTAAATTGCAGGATTAGGGTTTTAGTTCCTGGTAATAGAGGCTGGTTGGTTGCAATGATAAACAATGGGGAAAGTTATGGCTTCGTGATGGTGGAAAATGCTTACTGCAGGTCTGGGGTTAAAGCAATAATTCTCAAACTTTTTGACTTGTGGTGCACCCCGCTCAACACAGATCTTTCTGAGGACCACAAGCCAACCACCCATGGTGACAAAATGGGTGTGCGAGGGCGTGGAGGTGCAGGCTTTGGCCAGGAAGTAGGGAACAGGAGTGGGCTGAGGGTGGGAGGTAAGGATGCAATAATATAGTTGATTAACCAATTAACCGATAAGCAAAAGCTTATAGGTTAATTCTATAGACTACACGCATTTCTGCCTCCCTCCCCCAGTAATTCTTTTAACAGGCAGGCCAGCAGTCCAGCTTAGTCCCAGCTTGCACCGGGTCTGAGACCTACCCCTATTCCGGCTCTGCATTTAAATTGTATTAGTAGCCAAGCACTCTGGCTCAGCTCCAACTCGTGATGGGTCTGGGAGCTCAGATCTCTCCCTGCCACCCTATGCTGCTGTCTCTGTATCAGGCATCCATTCCATGAGAGGAGCCACTTTTAAAACTAGCTTGTGTTTAAACTGGCTTCCCTTGCAGACCAGCTCCTGCCTGGCATCCTGCTCTGCTGCCTCTGATACAAAGACAGCAGCAACGTGGGGTTGCAGGGTGCTCCTTGGGAGTGGGGCTGGAGCGCACTGGCTGCCAGCCCTGCCCCCAGGGACTATAGAATTGTCGAGTAACCGATAAGAATTCATTAGGTTAATTGACTATTCAATTAACCGATATTTAACATCCCTAGTGGGAGGGTGATGCGTTGAGGGGTAATATTAGGGCATGAGGGAGGTGGGTGGCGCTTACCTGGCTCTGTGTCTCCCGCTGTTCCCAGGCACCACCCTCCGCTGCTGCAATTGGGCGTGATTCCAGAGCCTGCGGCCCACTTACAAGACTATCCTGGACCACTAGTGGTCCAGGAACCACGATTTGAAAACCACTGGGTTAAGGGTTATGGGTCATAGCACTTAACATTGTAAATAAGTTTCTTGTTCTAAGACTTCATGAGAAGTCAAGTATTTATAATAGTAACTGCATTTAGTTACTAATTTAAAAACATTTAGAAACCCAGAATCCATTATTTGGGGCATTCAGAAAGCTAAAATTAATGGAAGAGTCCTATTCAATAATAGTTTGGCTAATGTAATAAAGATCATAGCTTTTCATGAATAACTAAAATGTTCACAATATACAGCTATGGTGATAAAGTACTTTCATCTTGGATGGTAATCCATAACTCTTAATCTTGTGTGATCTTTCAGGTGTACATGCTTTTTCCCCATCACATTTTTCCTCTACTTTTCCCAAAGCAGTTTTATGTATTCCTCTATGGCACTGCATGTGCATGGAATATTCCATCCTCAAACTATTTTATAAAGTCCCTTTAACTATAGCCATCTTGTTCCAAGCATTTGATGAGAAACTGTGAACAGGTAAGAGATGATCAGGTATCTCAGTTTGAGTCAATTAAAAAAATCTTCTTGTTCACATAGCTAATATGAACATGTGTAATCGTGTGATTCCTATCATTGTCATTCTTCTTCTTCCCTTTTCCACCTTCATTTCTTTTATGACCACTTGCTATAACTGTATGTCTTTAAATTAGATCTTGATTCTACACTCTTATTCAGGAGCAAGACTTGGAATGTAAATAGTTCATGGCAGGGAATGTTTCTTGCTATATTTTTGTTCAGTACGTGGCCTAATAGAGCTGTGATCCTAATTTAGGGATGTTAAATATCAGTTAATTGAACAGTCGATTAACCTCACGAATTTTTATCGGTTAGTTGACTATTCTATAGTCCCCGGGGGGTGTGGCTGGCTACCAGTGTGCTCCGGCCCCACTCCTGGAGAGCCCCTGCTACCCTGTGCTCTCTATCAGAAGCAGTTGCACAGGGTGCCAGGCGGGAGCTGGTCCGCATTGGGAGCTAGTTTAAAAATTAGCTCCCCATGTGAACTGGCTCCACAAAGCTGCCTCTGATAGAGACGTAGCAGCATGAGGTGGCAGGGAGCTCCCTGGGAGCGGGGGTAGGTCATGGACCCGGCGCAAGTCAGAACTGATCCGGGCTGCTGGCCAGCTAGCTAAAAAAATTACTGGCCTGGGGAATTGGGGGAGGAGAAATGCATGTAGTCTATAGCATTAACCTATAAACTTTTGTTTATCTGTTAATTGGTTAATCGACTATACTGTTGCATCCCTATCCTGATTAGGGCCTCTGTGTGCTACTGTGACACAAATAACTATTGTAAGCCTTGAAGTAAATTTATGCTCAGAAGTTAGTCTGTGAAAATCAATCTTTGATGCAGTTTCTGCTCTGAATGGATAAAATTCTGCTGGCTTTGCTCTTGCCATTAGATCTGTTGATGTCATTAGGGTTGTTGCAAATAAAGACTTCTTTACATGCAGATTTTCACCAATTTAGATTTTTTTAAAACCTGATTTAGTTAAATTGTCTCAAAAGGTTGTGCAGACATGTATATTTTGGTCTAAAGTCTAAACCACATTGATATCTTTTTTGGTGTGTTTTGTCAAATCTACAGCTCAAGTGTTCTTAATATGAACATGTGCTGGGCCATCACCCAAGAGTACTATCATGAAATATATAGTAGAATACAGGTAAAACAGATTAGGAAGCATATAGTTTTGCCCCAAGGAGTTCAATCTCAAATGTAATTAACACTCTTTTTTTTAAACAAATGTCATCAGCATTGAAGTAGGTCCTCTGGAATGGTGGTCGAAGCATGAAGTAGCATACAAATGTTTAGTATATTTGGCGCATAAATACTTTACAGTGCCAGCTATAAAAGTGTCATGCAAATTTTCTCGCTTCCAGGTGACATTATAAATAAGAAGTGGGAAGCATTATCTCCCATAAATATAAAAAAAGTTGTTTCTCTAAGCAATTGGCTGAAGGAGAAGTAGGTCTGAGTGGACTAGGTGCTATACTTTTACATGGTTTAGGTTTTTGAGTGCCATTATGTAACAAAGAAATCTGCATTTGTAAGTTGTACGTTCACAATAGTTGTACAACTATGTATAACATGAATTAGAAAATGCTATTTCTTTACTATTTTTACAGTGCAAATACCTGTGATAAAGTGATATCAAGTGAGCACTGCACACTTTGTATTAGGGATGTAACAGTGTAGATGATAAGTGGATGCTTATTGGTTAATACTATCAGCTACATGCAGCTTCACTCTTCTCCCCATCCCGTGGCTCTGAAAGAACATTTTTTTAGCAGGCTGGCCAATAGGCCAGCTCGGTCCTGAATCGCACTGGGCCCTGACATGAACCCTGCTGCAACTCTGCGTAATTAGTCCCCAGGATTGATGCTGGGACCTGGCAGAAGCTGGGACTGAGCCAGCATGCCTCTGCGCCAGCTCCCCAGACAGTGCAGAGCTACGGTGGGATTGATGCTGGGACTGAGAGCTTTCACTGCTAACCCTTATCGGTCAATCATGTAGTTGGCAACATTTTTGTCGACTACACAATTAATAAATTACATGCTTTGTATTTTGTGTGTTAATTGAAATTAGTCTATTTGAAAACGTATTAAATATTTTGGATATTTTTCTAATTTTAATTTATTTTCTATTTTAAGTGCAATTAAAATTGTGATTAATCAAGATGAATTTTTTGACTCACCTGCATGAGTTAGCTGTAATTAATCAGCAGCCCTAGTTGAAAAGTGTTGTCTGGGAAATATTTCTCTTTTTATATATATAAAAACATTTTTCCTGTTAGATGACAGACTGTTCCTGCCAGGTGACAAAATGGAAGTCATCAGCCTCAACAGGCTCTCTCAGCGAAGTGAAATCGGCCAGAGAGAGGGGGGAGCGAGCAGAGGATTCAGCCCTCTAGTGTGTATATAATGAAAACACTTGATAGTGCAGTAAACATGTTTATTATCTTTCAGAATTTGTATCCATTAGAGGTCAGATATGAACATACATGTTGTGGGTTGGGGATGTAAAAGGTTGACTGGTTACCCATTAAGCATTAGGCTTACCAGAATGCTTACTGGGTTATCAGCTAACCAGACCTTGTCCAAACTCCCAAGCATAGCCACTGTGACCGGCTGGAGCAACCCTGGGTGTGTTGGGCCAGCTGGTGGGATCTCAGCCATGTAGGGGTGGCAGGCTGGGCTATGTCTACTATAAGCAGGTACGGTCCCAGCCATGCAGTGGGCAGGCATGACTCCGGCCACCATGTCTGCTTCAGAGTCCCTGCCACATCAGAGCAGATGAGACCCCAGTCCTGACTGCCCTGCACCCACCCGTGAATGATTAACTGGCTAAATGGTATGATTTTAATCATTTAAACCAATATTTACATCACTATTGTGAGTGTCCTTTTAAATAGTCTGTATTTCTCCTAACAGAGCAAAAGCGAAAAGCTGCAGAATGGTGAATTATATTCTGTTCTGCCCTTTGCATCAACATAGCTGCCTGATAAATTCTGATTCCAAAATCTTTACTGTTGCTTCTGACATCTAAAACAAAATCACATCACCTGGTTATTCTTCTCTCCATCAATTCAGATGGAATTTGCACTGCTGTCAGTAAGGAAAATATTGTTTTGACTGGTAGGGAGAGCAAATATTACACACATTCTTCATGGGTCACATATTGAATACCAAGATGTTACTTAAAGTTTGTATTTTCTTACTGTGTTGAAAAAATAACAAGTTTAAGCTTGATTTTTCTCTGTGTATCATTCCTAACCTTTGGTTACAATGGGCACAGCATTGTGAATTTGCATAATCACAAAATAGTCAGATTCCCCAAATGCATGTTGTATCTAATATCAGTGAGCTTAAAGTAACATTTGTACAAAGATTTCAGCATTCTTAAAAAAGATAGATAAGGTACTTCATTATTTCAAATTTAGAGATGAGGAAACTGACCTAGCAAAGCATTTATGTGTCTTGAGATGCTTTTTTCCGTTATCAGTCCAAAGGCCCGGTATATCTAGAACTGAGGCCAAGTCTACACTGGCACTTCGCAGCACTGTAACTTTCTGGCTCGGGTGTGAAAAAACGTCCCTCCCCGCTTCCTGTCTCCCAAGCGCAGCAGCTCTTTCCCAGCGTTCATGCTGTGGCCACGTTTCAGTTCAAAGCGCTGCCGCTTTAAACTGTTAAGTGTAGATCAGGGGTGGCCAACCCATTTAACAAAAGGGGGGGGGGGGGCTGGGAGCAGGCTGCTTGGCTCCTGCTGCCTTTTGAATTGCAGAGCCGCAGTGGGGTTTGGTCCCAGCACGAGCTGGTACTGCCTGCTGAGCCAGTAGCAGCCCCTGTCTATGGAGAGCCCTAGCTGTGGCCAGAGTATTAAGCGGGGTGCCCCATGGGTTGGTTCTGAGGCCAGTTTTGCTCAAGATCTTTCTTAGTGATTTCGATGAGGGGATGGATTGCCGCCTCAGCAAGTTTGCAGATAACACTAAGCTAGGGGGAAAAGTAGATACGGTGGAGGGTAGGGATAGGGTCCAGAGTGACCTAGACAAATTGGAAGTTTGGACCAAAGAAATCTGAAGTTCAGCAAGGACAAGTGCAGTGTAAGGATGTTAAAGTGCGGTTAATTGACTAGTTGAGTAGTCGATGGAATTACCATCGACTACTTAAATAGTCAATAGGCACGTCTGCATTCCTCCTTTGAAATGTGTAAGAGCCCCACCTGTGCAGTGCTGCTGCTTTGAAGTACCCCTTCTCCCCTCCTTCCCCCATCTGCTGCCTCTGTCTGATAGAGGCAGCAAGGGTGGGGAATCAACTAGTCGACTGACTATTCGGTAAGCATTTGCTTATCGGATAGTTGACTAGTCCTTAATATTCTTAGTGCAGAGTCTTGCACTTGGGATGGAAGAATCCCAAGCACTGTTGCAGGCTAGGGACTGACTGGCTAAGCAGCAGTTTGACAGAAAAAGACCTGGGAATTACAGCAGATGAGAAGCTGGATATGAGTCAACAGTGTGCCCTTGTAGCCAAGACTAATGGCATATTAGTGTGCATTAGGAGGAGCATTGTCAGCAGATCTAGAGACGTGATTATTCCCCTTTATTTGGCACTGGTGAGGCCACACCTGGAGTATTGCATCCAATTCTGGGTCCCCCATTACAGACAGGATGTGGATGCATTGGAGAAAGTCCAGTAAAGGGCGACCAAATGATTAGAGGGCTGAGGATTTGATTTATGAGGAGAGGCTGAAGGATTTGGGCTTATCTAATATATAAAGGAGAATGTTTGTACGTTTGAGCGCTAATAACTTGGACACTATGGGTATGTCTAGACTACATGGCTCCGTTGACGGAGCCATGTAGATGAGTTTACTAGATATAGGAAAATGAAGCAGCGATTTAAATAATCGCTGCTTCATTTACATCAAAATAGCCACCGCGCTGTGCGTATCAGCTGTTTGGCGGCACAGCACGGTAGTCTGGACGCTCCACACTTGACAAGGGAAGCCTTTGTCGACCGCTCTGCTATGCCTCGTGAAATGAGGTTACCAGAGTGGTTGACAAAGGCTTCCATTGTCGACCACGGAGCGTCCAGACTACCGTGCTGTGCTGAGCTGACTAACAACTGATTGGCTCAGCGCGGCAGCCATTTAAATGTAAATGAAGCGGCGATTATTGAAATCGCCGCTTCATTTTCCTATGTCTAGTAAACTCATCTACATGGCTCTGTCAACAGAGCCATGTAATCTAGACATACACTATAAGAGCTACCGCAACCAAACTTTGCATTGGATAATCTTTCATCCAGGAGAAGGTTTTAAGTATTTTTGGACCTGATCGGGGTCCCGCCCTGCTCCCTGTGGCCCCAAGTGTGAGCTGGGGCGCCCTTCCCGCGCCTCCCGGGACTCGCCTCCTCCTCTGCTGCCTATGAGGTTACATAACCTACCCTCTTCTCCCCCGCCAGCATGCAGTGCCCCCACCCTCTTGCTTACAATGGCTCCCGCAACCCCCCCCCCCCCCCCCCCCCCCC